AATGTGCATGTGTCGCATGGAGTTTAAAAGATGTATTAATGGTAAAGTTTCTTCCTCCTTTCTGAGGGCTAAAGAATGGGACCACAACTCTTGGCTTTAAGTCAGCTACATCACCCCCAGGATAGGGAAGTTTCTATAGCGGAATAGAGACTTTGTAAAAGTTCTGTAATGTCATGTTCGTAGCCTCAGACATAAGGGTGCAGTGGGAACAAAAGTGAATCACTGGAACACGCTATTGTGGATGGTAAAATGGCTCATAGAAAAATCTCCTTAGGATAGCACAATGCTAGAAGCTGCCCTAAGTACCTTGAGATTAGATAGATTCCTAGTGAAGCCCAAACTTCAGAGAGCCATAAAGTAGCACAGGCTTCAGTTCAGCCCCCAAATTTCTACAGCCTCTTATTCAAATAAACCCTAGTTTTGCTTTAGTAGCCCATTGGCTAGAGCATATTTTGTAACACTACTCTTCTGTGTGGTGTTCTACTAGATTTGCACAAACCCTGGGCTCCTTGGACCTATGCTACATGCCCTAAATCTGCTTTCCTTTCCCATTTGATACACAAGCTCCATTCAGCAGCCCGGTCTAAGCACTTTCCCACCACCTCTTCATCGGGGTGGGCAAAATGTAGCCCGGGGTCTGGATGTGGCCCACCAGGCCATGCTATCTGGCTCGCAGGGCCCCTAAAAATTTAGAAAATTAATATTTATCTTCCCCTGGCTGCCTATCACGCGGCCCTCGATGGCTTGCCAAAACTCAGTAAGCGGCCCTCTGCCCAAAATAATTGCCCGCCCCTGCTCGTCATTGATGTTATGCCCATGAAAAAGTGTGTGGCTACAACAGATTGCAGGTCAGCAGATAGAAACAGACTATTGATCCCCATGGAGTAGGTGACAAATTGGCAAAACCTGATAAGCATTCCTGTAATATTCCTACTAGTGGGAATGTATTCTCTGAGTCTGCAGTTGCATTATATGCTCTTTTACTGCCAAAGAAAAATACTTGGAAAGAACTGGCATTTGGATCTGTTAAAGATAAATTGTACCATTAATCAGATAGTGCTTAAGATTAAGGGCTAGATTTTTTTTCAAATGTTGGGACACTTATTTAATGCGAATAAGTACCAGGTATTTTCAAAAGCTAGCTGCGTTACTGTCACAAGCGCTCTTTAAAATTCTGCTAGGCAACCACCTGCATCTTTATAGGCCTAAATATCTTTAAAAGTCTGGTTTTGTGTGTTGTACCTTAAAAGTGCTATATTCAATTGGTGTTCTTTACAGAGTGTGGGGTGTGTGTCAATGAGTTCTTTGATGGCTGCTCAGGTCTGATGCGCAAGTGACAGTCCCACCCACAGGTAGGGCACACCTACGCACTAGCAATTCTCTGAATCAGAGCAGCAGATTCTTTCCTCCTCTGATGCCAGTCATCACCAAATTTGATCCAGTGTGCCTCACAGCACCTTGCTCCATCTGCAAGCTCACTCTGCCAACTATAGTGGCATTCTGCATTCCTTTCCCAATCATCCACAGAGATTTCAGAGGATCCCAAAATTTGTGCAGCGATCCGCCTCTCTTTCTAGACCCTTCCTGAGCTTCAGAGTACAGAACATTCTTTGGGATCCTGTGATCTGGCATTTACTTGACATGACCAAGCCACCAGAGTCTTTTCTTACTAATCAGCATTCCCATGGATGCCATACCAGCACAATTTTTAACACTTCCACATTTGTCACCCTGTCTTGCCATCTTATTCAAAGAATTTTACGCAGGCATCTGATATAAAAGCTGTTTAGTCTTCTGATGTTCGGCATAGGTCATCCATGTTTCTGAGCCATATAAGAGCGGATAAAACACATCCTATAAATAAGAACTTTCACTTTAGTTGACAGTTTGTTATTGTTCCAGGTTCTTTTTTGCAAAAGACCAAAGTTCTGGCTGTCAGTTCTAGCGAGCTCGGCATCAAGATCTACATTGCTGGTAACAGTAGAGCCAAGGTAGAAAAATTGGTCAATAACATCCAGATGAGTACCATCTAGGGTGATATCTGGAACTGGTTCTAAAGAGCCTTGGTGCAAGATAACCATCCTCTTCAAGCTTATTGTTAGCCCAGAGATTTTGCATGAGTCAGAGAACTTGGTAATGAGATGTTATAGGAGATCACTGAGCCACAAAGGCTGCATCATTTGCAAACAACGGGTCCCTTATGATGATCTCCTTCACCTTTCTCTTAGCTCTGAACATTGCAGTGTTAAACTGCCCTCCATCGTGTCTAGTGCTAAGGTAAACAACCTCTCAAACCTCACAACGTGTTTTGAAGCAGGAACGAGAAGCAAATGTGAAATCCTTACATGATAGCATGAAGGTGACTAATGTATGAAAACCAAGAGTCTGACTCGATCAACATCAGCAAGAGAGTGATGCAGGACTGAATACTGACTCCCACTTGTTTTAACAAGGTTTTGCAATATGTAGGTGAACAACCAAGCTTCTTCAGAATAGTGTAAAAACCTGATCAACTAACCACATCAAAGGCTTTTGTTAAATCTATAGAAGCCATGTACAGTGGTATATGCTTCTCTCTGCACTGTTCCTGCAGTTGTCTTGCACAGAAGACCATATCTGTGGTGACCTGTCCAAGCAGAAGTCAGGCTGGCTCTCAGGATAAATTCTCTCAGCTGATGTTTGAAGTCTAGGTAAAAGAATGTGGCTTAAGATTTTTTCCTGCAGTGTTGAGAAGAGAGATACCTCTGTAGTTATTACAGTCACTTTTATCTCCTTTGTTTTTATAGAGTTGGATGAAACGAACGTCCTTGAAATCTTGAACAATTTCTTCGTTCTGACAGAATAACAGTACCTCATGCAATCTTTGCGGCAAGTTTTTTGCACATTTGTAAATTTCAGCAGATAAATAGATCCTAAAGCTTTGTTATTGGGAATCTTTGATACATTGTTCAACCTCCTTTAGTGTAGGTTTGGCATCCAGCAAAGTCATAACTTTAAACCCAGGGAATTTGTCTAGCTTACGTTGGTCTACTACAGACTCCCTTGAGTATATCATTCCATAATGCTCAATCTTCTCCAGTTGGTTCCTCTCATCGGTTATGATGTTACCATCCAGGCCTTTTAACAGAGCTGTCTTGTACTTTGGCCCAGTGGCTTTTGTAATGCCCTCATACAACTGTCTGCTGTCAGCTGCCTCTTGAATGGTGTTGCAGAGACCCAGCCAAAATTCTTGAGCATGCCTCCTGGAAGCTGTTTGAACAGCCTTATGAGCTTGTTGAGTGAATCGGTAGTAGGACTTGTAGGTGATTAGGGAGGGTAGTTATTTTTCTCTCAGTGAGCAACAGTAGTACCTCCAAATGGTCTACAAACTAGTTGACAGTTTTCTTAATATTCTTTCCAAAACTCTTGATTGCCACATTGTACATACTTGTCTTCAGGACTTCCCATACACCTGATGCAGTTTCATTTGTTCTGGGCAACTTTGCTACTTCTTCACTGAAAAGCTGTTTCTTGACAGGATCATTGATTTGGCACAAGTCAATATGAGGTTGTTCAGCAGGTTTATTATGGTGGATCTTCTTAGCTCATCCCGAAACAGGGCTGCTTGGAAATCTTGGTAGGTGCCTCAGTGCCCTTATGCATCTCTTAGATCCCTGTGACCATCTTGGCAAGACCTTTAGCGCATATACCTAGGCAGAGTTATAGAGGAACAGAGGCTGCCATAGACCTGTCATCCCCCTTTTAGACCACTGAGCCAAAATCCAAAGGCCAGAAGAGTGCTGTATAAGTACTAGCTAATCTATCCCCCAGATTCCCTTCATTCTCCCTGCACAGGAGCTGAAATTCAAAGGGTAAGGGGCTTGTTCAGATTCTGAGTTAAGCTAATGCTACCGTGGATGTCAAGGGTCCCTGCTTAGTTTGTTGTCATGCACTGCTTGTCACTTGTAAATTACTAAGAGTAAAGTAAGACACGTGTGAAGTGTGAACCTATAAGATTATAGCAAATATGTGTATTTCTGCAGGCAGTGGCGTGATGCCCATTGCTGAGCTTTATGCGGGGGAAGTTCTTTTCATTGGGGCAGAGGAAAGCAAGTAACTGTGCATTATGTTTGCACTTGAAAACCATTCTTTTTTGGTGAGGCTACACTCCAAAGGAAGAGAAGGTACAATAGACCATTTGGTTAAAAGCTGCAATGAGTTCATAAATTGAAGCAAATTAGTGGAATGGACTGCACTCTTGAATGATTGCTGTTCATTTCCTTTGGAGACAGAAATTGCTGAATTGTAATGAGAGTAGTTCAGAGAGACTTTTTTTGTTCTTAAATCTGAGAGAGGTTTCCTTGAAGTGTAGGCACCAGGGCCCTTGTGTTGCCTTGAAATTAGGGTTGAAATAGGTTAAGAGCCCCAGATGATTACTCGGCACAGTGCAGCAAGACCCTGAAGATAACTTTGTCAAACACAGTGTTTCAAGCAGACTTGAAATTTGGCATACTCAATGGCTTTCCAGTAACCAAGGATTATTGTCAGTGATACTTAATTTTTTTTATCATGCACATTGTGTGTGTGTGTGTGTGTGTGTGTGCGCGCATGTTTGTGTAAAATTCAAAAGTATCCAGTAATAGGAAACAGTAAGAAAACATTTATACAAAGAAAAGTAGATTCTGCAAATGTCCATCCCATGTAGCTTTCATAACTTTCACTGCCTGCTATGTGGAGCTTTCTTTTCAGCTGAATCAGTCTCTAATGATACCGTGAGGCTGATATTAGTCATCCTAATGCATTTTAGTGCTTAAATATCTATCTTTAAAAAATTTTATCCCATTTCTTGGAATCATTAAATACTTAAGAGTCTAAAAATGATTACATTCCTTTTTGCATTTATTATAAATTACTAGGAAAGGGTCAACATTTATGTGAATGGAATATTGTTAGAAGTGCATTTCTATCTCTCTCTCTTTCCTTCTCACCAGTAACCATAATATTGTATTTCCCTCCTACAGCTATCTGCATCATATTGGTGCATTTACTGATAAAGTACAGACTTCATTTTTTGCCAGAGAGCGTGGCTGTTGTTTCTTTAGGTAAGTAACTGTGTGACTTCCAGTTTGGTTTTTTTGATGAAAGCTTAACTTAATATTTTTGGATCATAAAAATTTTAGGGGTTTTGTAGCCAAGCAGTTAAATCATATTACTGTGAGTAAGGGCCAGACTTACAATATACTCAGCACCTAGAAGCTCCCGTTATTCTTAATCACCCCATTTGATAAATGGTCCACTGTTTTTAAAAAAATGTAATACTGCCTCCATACCGGTTCTACCATTAGAGTATGATAATGTAAGATTTTCAAAAGGACTTAGCACTTTGTGTCTTGTAATGTATAGAGACTGCTGCTAATTAATGTTTCCAATTATTGTAATAACTGGCTGGCTTTATCACAGGCATCTGATTGGAAACACTAGGATTTCTATTCTGCCTCTTAGAAGTTAAAATTGGAAGAGGGGAGGAAATCTCAAAGCTCAGTAAACATGTCAAGACTGAAAAGATAACTTGGTTAGTAGGGTCAAACAGCAGGATGTCGCTAGCATGCCTGACTTCCTTACAGAGTGCCTTATCTTTTTCTTTTCTTTAGTAGTGCAGCATTTTAGACCCTGATTCAGGAAAGCAGTTATGCATGTGCTTACAAATGATTCAAGAAAGCACTTAAGTCATGTGCTTGAGTTCAGTCAATGCAATAATTCCCCGCAAGTTGCCTTTCAAAAGATATTTTACAGGGGTGCACAGATAAAGATGGTTTGGGCGCATACTGATGGCCTTTTATTAACCAGCTATATTGGCCAATACCAGTCCAATTGCCGATATGCAACCTGGCAGCTTGGAGAGCAGCATTCAGCAGGTCTGTTGAGAGAAGGGATGGGGGCAGGGAGTGGAGTGGGGACAGATAGGGGCCCCTGCAGCGAGGGAGGAAGTGGGGCTAGGTGGGGGACGGAGCTGCAAGCGGCTCATCCAAGTGGCGTGGGGAGGTGGGGAAGGTGGCTTCCACCACTGCACGCACCCCCGGGGGAGCCGCAGGGGTGCGTGTGTCCTCGGATCTATGCATGGGATGAGGATGGGCTGCTGCTGTGGGCTTGGGCCAGGGATGGCACCAGGCTCTTCCCAGTGTGGGTGCTGGGCCAGGACTGCACTTGAGCCAGGTGGTGGCACCGGAAGGGAGTGCCACGGGCTGGTAGCCCCAACTCAGTGCTGTTGCCACCACCTGCCCTGAGCTCAGCCCCAGTCCAACCCCCCCTGCCAGAAAGAGCCCGGGGCCATCCCCAGCCTGCAGCGGCAGCCCACCCTCACACCATGCACAGATCCAGTGGGGCACATGCCCTGCATGACTCCCCTGGGGGTGAATGGAGCAGCAGAGGGTGCACGCAGTGGCAGGAGCCACCCCCTGGACGAGCTGCTCATGGCTTTGTCCCGTGTCCAGCCCCACTCCCTCCCTTACTGCAGGGGTCTCAATCTGCCTCCCTTCACCTCCTCCCCTCCCCCCTGCCCCTTCTCCCCCAACAGACTTACCAGCCAGATTCTGCTCTCCAAGCTGGTGGGCTGGCTATGTGCATGCTGCAGCTGCGCATGCACGCGGTATTTGTCAGCAACATTATTGGCCACATCAGCCAAAAAAAGGCAATTGCCGATGATGTCAGTTTTCCTTTTATCAGTGCCAGTATGATATAGACCAATGTATCGGTGCACCTATAATATTTTACTAACCACCTGCTACACATGCATCCTCAGTAATGTGAGGTAGATATAGCTATGGCCCTGTATACAAAAGATTTCATTGGCCTTTCTTTTGTGATATGATTGTGTTTGTTTCAGTTTTAGAAGAACATTTTGCCTAGTACATGTGATTAAATTTTGTCTGAGAATACACCATATTTTTTCACCTACAACACACATTTTTCCTCCTGAAATCAGCTCCCCCAAACTGGGGTGCATGTTTTAAGTGGGGAAGCTGTTTTTTTCACTGGGAAAAAGAGTGCTCCTGGAGACCATTTGCATGCCATGCAGCAAACTGAAGGTGCGGAGTCTTGTGTTAACCCTGTCTCACACTTAACTGTTGGCTGATCACTGTAGCTTGTGCCTGAAGCAGCAAATGAGCTATTGGTAGTATCTTGATGAGGCTTACGTTGTGGAAATACAGGAATTTTATATAAAGATCTACTTACAGTAAAGAAATAAGTCTTGCTACTGCCCTTTGCCAAGAGTCTGAAGCCTAACCTTATGTGACGGAAAGTTCTCCTGGAAACGTAATGTATTTAGAAAGTATAACCTTATAGGTGACAGTCAGCTACACCAGAAAGTTCCTGATGTCACTTTTTGGACACATTACGTTCTCAGGAGGACTCACTCTGGCACAGTCTGTTTTCCAAAAACAAGGTGTGTGTTTTATTTGAGGGTATGCTATATGTAAGAAAATATGGTGATTTTCCTGGTAACCTGAAAGTTTGCTCCAATTGTTAGATACTTAACTATCTCAGTGGTATCATCACAACAGCTCTTTCTATAACTTCAGATATCTAACATCCTCAGTGTAGATCAAGCTCTTAACCACTTTGCAGTAAGTTGGAAATGGTTGTAGCTTGAATTTGCTCTCAGATTGGTTGTACTTTGTACGAACTCCACTGATTTCAACGCAGTTACTCTGGATATACACATGTAAACGAGAGGAAAATTAGGCTCCATGTTGTCTAGTGTCCCTATTACTGAAACAGCATTTAATCAGGAGGGTCAGCTGTCTCTAACTGGAATCTATGTGTCTTGATATTTTTTGCTTCAGTCACTGGTGACACTGGCACTAACAGACATTCTAAAAATACACCACAAAGACAAAGATGCTTAGCTACAATCCTAAACTAGGACAGTAGTGGTGTCACGCTTAATGAGCAAGTAGTTCTCATGTTTCTTCTGGGCACTGCCTGCTGCGTTTTTGGGCACATTATCCTCTTCCATTATTTCCTGCACTTTCATACATATTCTCAGAGCTCTCTTCACCACTCCAGTCAAGGCTTTCTTTCTTCCAGGCTCACAGTACCTTCTGGCTTCCCTTGAAATAAGGGTGTTGCAACTTGCCTGGTACAGTGTCAAAAGGATCTTGAATTCAGACCTGTTTCTTGTGGGGGAAAGGAGACCATATTCTCTCCAGCCCTAGGCATAACTCCTGACTGCAGCTCTTTTTAGTGCACAGTATTTGATTTCATGGTACATCATGTTGCCTGCAGCATGATGCATGTTAGGAAATCCTGCAGCATAGACAGAGCTCTTTGCTTGAAGATCATTTGGGGTCAAATGGTTGTCTCAGGAAAGAAAAGAGAATTCTAGAAAGCCTGGCCTTCCAGTATTTGGCAACATAGATTGCACAGTCTTGCAAGCACATCTCCTTTCCATGAGCACTTAGTATTTTGAATAGCACCCTCCACTTGGGCTGTATGTGCACCCTGTGCTGCCTCATTCTCCTACACGTGGGCATAAAGCGAGAACTGTCCCAGTCCTTGCACAGTCCCCTCTTAACACCTGTGGCAGCAGATGGAAGCTGGGCAGTGTCCAACCTGGCACAAGGGAGCACTTCTTCCCCTCTGCAGCCTCAGCTACTTCCTTGAGTACCAACACCAGAGTTCTGCCTTCGCACCAATTCTGGGATATGGTTTGAGGGAACCGTCTTCACCCTTTCTCTTGGCACTGGCACATCACCATTAGACCCACATCCAAAGATGCTGTTGTTAAAGATGCATTTTTGACTGTCTCTAAACTGCTCCAAGTAGAGCACTTTTCTTTCTTTAAAAAATGGTATGTTAGTATTGAACCCAGAAAACGCTCTGTTCCAGTGTGTGCCTGGCAGCAGATGTGCTAACCACAGTATGGCTAATAACTCTGCTTGCTACTGTGGCCCTACTCGCCTTACCACAGGTGCTAAAATGATGTCTTTAGCATATGTTAAGAAAGGAATGGACATCTCAGTCTCCTTTGGCATCAGCTGAGCACCCCACATCAGAACTGGAGGGGTCCTGTTTTGAGGGAGGAGATCTGGTTTGGGAAGCATGCTAATTTCTCGCCTCATATAAGAAATGTCCTCTTCTCAGATGTGGGGGCCAAGATGAACTCGCTTGTAGTTGATGGTTTTGGAGTGCTTCCCAAAACCTGCTCCTGTAAGAAGCTGAAACCTTTGACATCAAGAGTTGACCCAAGAGAACATGCACAAGCTAATGCTATCCTCAGCTCATCCATGCCAATGTGAATTGTTCTACCAGGATAACTAAGAGGAGGATACAAAAGAATAAGGTGGATAGCATTTTGCTATTGATAATTCTCTCTTCAGAAGGAAGAGAAGGTCTGTCTTATTGTAGACCAATCAAATGCATCCACCACCTGAGGTTTTGGAGGATAAAACTTTTTTCTCATATTTCATAGATTTAATGGACAGTAGGGCTGGAAAGGACCTTGTGAGATCATAAGAGTCTAGCCCCCTGCCCAAGGGGCAGGAAGTCATCTGGGGTCAGATCACCCCAGCAAGATAAGCATCCAAATATTTCTTAAAGGTATCCAGAGTAAGTGTTTGCACCACTTTTGTGGGGAGTCTATTCCAGACTCTGGAGATTCGAATGATAAAGAAATATTTCCTTATGTCCAGTCTAAAACGGTCTTCCAGCAGTTTGAGACTGTTAGACCTTGTCCTTCCCTGGGGTGCCCTGGTGAACAGACTTTCTTCCAGTTCCTGATGCACACCCCTAATATACTTATAGGCTGTCACCAAGTCATCCCTGAGCCTTGGCTTCTCCAGGCTGAAGAGTCCCATGCCATTCAGCCTCTCCTCATAAGGCCTGTTCTCTTGACCTCTAATTATGCACGAGGCTCTTCTCTGGACTCTCTCAAGCTTTTCCACAACTTTTCTAAAGTGTGGAGCCCAGAATTGGATGCAGTACTCTAGCTGTTGCCTCACCAAGGCTGAATAGAGCAGGAGGATGACTTCTTGAGTCTTGCTTGAGATGCATCGGTAGATGCAAGCCAGAATTTTATTTGCTTTGCCAGATGAGGCATCTC